GTAAATGTCATCAAAACTAAAATTTAAATACAACACTAAACAACTAGCATAGAGGAAACAAGCCCTCAGCACACAAGAGGACAGAGGAGATATTGATTATTTCATTTCTTAATTTATTCACTTTCCCCTAATGTTAGTATTTCTTAACTTTTATATTGACAATGAACCTTTCACATATACTTGCTACATTAGATAGTCACTTCTTGGACCCAATACCCACACAATACATTCTTTGTACCTCACTTACATAATGATATGCCCTCAACTACATACTCATTAGATATTCAATAAATGAATAAATGAAAGTTTTTCCATAAAGCCAACAACCTGGCTTCATAAGGAAAAAGAATACTTTCTTTGAGCCATCATCAACACTCACAATGTTCTTTCACAAAAAAACCAACTGGTGTGTTTCCAATTGCTTGGGGTGGGGTGTCCAACCCAGAAGGACACTGCTCTCTGTTGCACAGGAACCTGGGGAATGGTTAGGAGGCAACCCTACTTAATTTCCCACATATGAAAATGATGGCTAGGGCCTAGCAGCGTGGCCTAGCAGCTAAAGTCCTCGCCTTGAACATGCTGGGATCCTATATGGGTGCCAGTTCTAATCCCGGCAGCTCTACTTCCCATCCAGCTCCCTGCTTGTGGCCTGGGAAAGCAGTCGAGGACAGCCCAAAGCCTTGGGACCCTGCACCTGCATGGGAGACCTGGAAGAAGTTCCTGGTTCCGGGCTTTGGATCGGGGCAGCACCAGCCATTGTGCTCACTTGGGGAGTGAATCATCGGACGGAAGATCTTTCTCTCTGTATATCAGACTTTGTAATAAAAATAAATAAATCTAAAAAAAAGAAAATAATGGCTAAATAAGTTTGTGCTTCTAAAAATTATGAATGGAACAGAACACTGCAGAGTACAAATAAACAAACTTTGCCTTTGTCCAATACATTTCATGCGATTTTTTTCCTCTTGCCTTTCCCCATGACATATGGTGATTGCCCAGCACCATTCTTCAGATAAATTTGGACATGTGTGAACTAAGTGCCTGGGACAGAGAAAGCATACAAGGTAAAAAAAAAAAAAATGAAGTCTTTATATGGAACTAGCTCTAGACCAAGAGATTCTACAATAATTAAACACATAACTACACACAATTAAACACAACAACAAAGAACTACTGAACCTTGAGTCTCCTACCAGCATCTGAAAAAGCTCTAACACACATATACTTGAGCTATTACTTTTGTGTCATGCATGGGATTTCCTTAGACAGAGCTGGACTGAGTTTCTTCGTTGCTTTTGATCAAAAAGCTAATACCACAAGGCTGCCCCATACAGTGTGAACCCACTTCATTTTCTCTAAGTCAGTCACTTAGGAATGAAAACAAAATAGTGGGGGAAAACAGAGATAGGAAACAGTGGGGGACCTTACTTCCTGACTTCTCAGAGCATTTTCTTTGGTTATCTAGGCATGGGGGCTGACACGAAGGCTTTGACCTCCCTGGGAAAGGTTTTAAGGTTGAAGGAGGAGGACATTTTTGGAAGAAGATGTTCTCTCACATCACTGTGAAGGGAATAGCTTCATCTCTGAGGAAATTACAGAAAGCATCTCCCAGGTGCCCTCCCAGCACAGGGCATGAACAGCGGCCTCCTTGTGTCGGAGGGTGTTCTTGTCTCAGGCATCTCCTCACTTCCCACCTCAGGGTCTCATATTCATTTCTCAATTTCATGCTTGTTGACTCCAATGCAGTCCTGCAGGTTTCAATTTTTACCAGTGTTGATAAGAATCAAACGTATACTCTACTTGGGCTATATTATTTTCAAGTGAGTATTTTTTCATGTAGATTCTACATAAGGAGGGTGAAACTGGATAGTTTCTTTTTCTAATATATTTATTTACTTATTTATTTTTCTTATAAAGGCAGATTTACAGAGAGAGAAGGAAAGACAGAAATATTTTTCATCCACTGGCTCACTCCTGAAATGACCGAAACAGCCAGAGCTGAGCTGATCCAGGAGCCAGGATCCAGGAGCTTCTTCTGGGTCTTCTACACAGGTGCAGGGGCCCAAGGTATTGGGCCATCCTCCGTTGCTTTCTCAGGCCATAAGCAGGAAGCTGGATGGAAATTGGAACAGCTGGGACACAAACCAGCACCTATGTGGGATGCAGTACTTGGATGTGGAGGATTAGCCAACTAAGCCAATACACCAGCCCATAGCTTATTGACTTGTTCATTAGATTATTTGGCTAACAGATTATAGCTGATACTACTTGATTATTGGATAGGAACAGAGAGAATGGTGGCTTGAGATGAAGCTTAGGGTGCCTGCCTGCACTCCATATCAGAGTATCTAAATTTGAGTCCTGGTTCTACTCCCAGTTCCACTATCGCACACCCTGGGAAGCAGTGGTAATGACCCAAGGACCTCAGTGCCTGCCATCCATATGATACAGAGTACATTTTCAGCTCCCAACTTTGGTCTCAGCCCAGTCCTTGCTATCACAGGCACTTAGGCAGCAAGTGTGCAGATGGGGGCTCCATCTCTCTGCCTGTTAAGTAACTAAATAAAAAACACTTTTGAAAGAGAACTTTGGCAGGAGGAGGGGGGGCGAGTAGCACAATATATAAACCACAAGTTTTAAAGATAGACAGTGCTAGTTTAAATCCCAATTCCTTCACTTTAACAGTCATACAACATTAAGCAGGTCCCTAATCTCCCCAAGTCTCAGTTTTCTTACAATATACATACAGGTTCTCAAGAGGATTAAATGAGTCAAGATAGAAAAGGCGCCCGTGTAGCACAATGTTAAGTCCGCAGTAATTAAGGCATGTAGCTAATTTGATGTTTCTTGCTAGGTCATTTAAGAGTCAACATTTTACATACACTTATATACCTGCATATATGTATACTTAAGAATGGAAACAAATCACAAAGTATACAGAGCTAGGAAACTCACAGACACTTGAACATGCTTATTGACACATGGTAAATGCAAACGCTCACACTCTACACAAGCATAACCTAACACACAACTAAGTCATCTTCCTTACACACCCTAAGGTGGTTTTTCGGTTGACTATTCCAGCTATGTGGTTCTATCTGCCACTACAGCACACAGACGGGCCAAACACGTCAACCTGAGTCAACTTTAAAAATGCTTCTTAGTTGCCTGAAACCACAAGAAATTGAGACACTCCCCACCACCACCACCACCGCAGCATGTTCCAGGATGCCAGGAGAATCTGGTGGCCAAGTGCCGGGTGATGGCACATGGCCTTGCTGCCAGTCCTCAGCGACTCATGCATTTTCCGGCTCTACCTGGACGGGATGTGTGCTGAAAGCAGATCTGTCATCCATGTCACTCTAATCTTTCAGGTCCAACTGGTCTCCAGGGTCACATCCTCAAGCCTGTCCAGATGACTCATCACTCAACTGGGAAGCAGGAAGTGCTCCATGTAGGGGGAGGAAGTGGAAAGGACGCCACACCTCAGACAATGCCCTTCTTACCCAAGCAGTGTTGTTATTCTCATCTACCAGGCAACACCCAAACAGAGCACGCTTGCAGTCCCACCCTCAGCAAGGGAGATGTGACTGGGAGTCTATTCCAGTGTCTCACATCTCGGACATCACATGTGACATCCATCCTGCTGCTGCTGCACCGTGGCAGACCCCATAGCAGACCCAGGCCACCAGGACATTAACCTCAAAGCAGAGACAGAAGCCTCTGTTGGTGAATGCTGTTGTTTCTGTTGGCAGTGACACTCGGCGGCACAGATGTGTTGTCTGTGTATTTATGTAGTAATGCGTGTGTATGTGCAACAAGGTTGGGTCACTCAAGGGAAGACTTTTGCTGCCAAGATTGTTTGCTATTGTTAAAGCATTTGCATATTTAAAAAATAATGTGTCTGGGTCTCCTCAAAGACATACTATATTTCATGGGGTGGGAAGTAAACTATTTCAGTGGGTCAGGAGATACCTGGCCTTTCACTTCTATCCAAAAGATCGGGGGGATCTGAAACATCACCCTCATTCAATGTGTGGAGGAGTTAGGGGATCAAGGAAGACTTTGGAAGTGTAACACTTACTTTCATCCCCTTTCCACCCTAATACGCACATTCTAAGCTGGAAACTTTCGAGCAATGAAATACCAGCTAGCCATAGTCCTTGCTTGGCCTCATTTACTCACTATACTGAAAAACTGACATTTTAGTTGGAAATAAAATGGTTAAGGAACTTTTAAAAATATATATATATTTATTTTTATTGGAAAGACAGAGAAGGAGACACAGAAAGATCTTCCATCTGCTGGTTCACTTCCCAAGTGGCCGCAGTGGTTAGAGTGGAGCCGGGAGCCAGGCGTTTCTTCTAACCCCCTACGAGGAGGCAGGGTATCAGGGACTGGGGCTGTCTTCCACTGCTCCCCAGGGCACAAGCAGGGAGCTGGATCGGAAGTGTAGCAGCCAGGACACAAACTGGCACCCATATAGGATTCTGGGTATGCAAGGCAAGGATTCATTGACCAGGCCATAGCACCAGTCTCAGGAACTTTTTAATATCAAAATTATGGGGGGGGGGGATTATTTTCATTTTTTTGTTTTGGGTTTTTGCTTTTTTGTTTGCTTGTTTTAGCAATTTTCAGTTGGATTTTTAAAAGATATTCAATTGCCTTAGAAGGCAAAAGAAAAGTGTTTTGGCCCTACCATACATGTAAATCAAGATGGAGCTCTTGGCTTCAGCCTGACCAGGTACCATTCTATCTAGGAAATGAACCAGCCAATGGAAGATATCTCTCTCTTTCTAACTCTAACTTTCAAGTAAGTAAATAAATTGGCACACATGTGGGATGCAGAGTGCCAGCACCACAGGGGAGGCTAATTCCTCTCTGCCGTGTCAGCTTCCAAAAGCTATATTTCTTGATCTCATTTTATGGTGAGAGCATGAGGATTATTATCCCATGGCCAGGAAGAAGTAAAATCTCATTTTAAAAAAATTTTTTTTCCAACCCTACAAAAATGCAAGGCCTCAGAAAATTGGATCAGGCCTCAGAATTGTTTCTCTCCACAGAAATCTTTAGTAAAAGGCTAAAGATTTATACATTCTGAAGAGAAATGTTGACGCTAGTCTGTCTGATACAAAGGCCATTCACTTCCTACCATGGAAATGGCCCCTTCTGTGTATGACAAAGCTTGTATATTACAGGACATGTTTGTACTTGGTGAACAATTGAAAATGAATGCTGTATGAAGATTTTAATCACTGCAGCCACAACTTCAGTAATCCAGAGGCCATTACACCCACCTCCTAATCAACTGAACTCAGTTAAGCCCTGAGAGTAAGCTCCACGAGCCGCCAGAAGGAAGGTGACAGGAGTTCCATCAGACAGGGCAGGTGGACGGCGAGGTTCTGACTGTACACTGCTTGCTGCCTGGGGGTCATTTTACTCTAGCTCTTAACAGCCGTGTCATCCCCAGCCTGCCACAGAGAGAACACAAGATGCAGGGAAAGCGGGAGTTTGTCCAGGCAGGAATATTGAGAACTGCAATGGAGAGCAAGAGCAAGACAGGAACACGATGTGCTGGTGCCATTCCTCGTGAAATATCCCTTGGACCCAGCACAGAAACTTGAGCAGCTGCCAGGGGAGGCTGAGAGACAAGGCTCAAGAGGAGACACAGTCATCACTCTATGGGAAAGTGAAATTTAACAACTTAGCAACGCTAAGGAGAAACAACACGATTTATAAAAGTTTCTCCCAAAATATTTGGATTCTCTCCTATTGAAAACTGTAGAGTACCTCATTTCCAGGAGATGGTAAAAGTTGTTGGGGACTTTTTTTGCAAATGAACATGCCCTTTCAAAGTGCTCCCGACTCGCTGACACGAGTCTCGGAGCCTTTCTGGAAGACTGCATTCGCCCTGTCTTGTGTTTTATCAGCACCCTTTGCGGCCGTTGTGGCCTTCATCTATAAATCAAGGTTTTCATTAAGAGCAGTTCTCTTCCTCTGTCTTCATAATTGATGGCCAAGCTTAAACACACATTTCAATCTCCCCTCTCCAAGTTCAGAGCAGGATGACATGCTATTTTTCTAGAACCATTAAGCGACAGTGTTCTGAGCACCTGGGAAAGATGAGATCCAGACATGATGTGGGAATTACTTCATCTCTGCATTCAGGGCTCTGGCTTCAACCTTGGGGCCATCCTCTAACCGCTTCTGTCAAGAGCATGGGACACTATAGACTTGGCTGTTGACACATGGATGCAGCCAAGGGAAACAGCCTGTGATCCAGCTTACAAAAGCTTTCTTCCCTTCAGTTTTCTCCAAATATATAAAGATGAATAAATTATCGCGGGCAACTGCATTTTGTAGCCAACACATGCAGCCACCAACTAATTCAGGATTAACCTCTTCATGCAGACTTTCCCTATCAGTAAACAAAAAATAAAAAACTGGATAAATGCAAATAATATCCAAGAGAAGTGGCAGACAATAAACGGCTTTTTAAAAGTTTCTCTTTAATAGTGGTATGTCCTCAGGGAAGCATAACGGGGGCCCTAATTTACAGGAAAGAGATTGGGGAGTGAGGGAGGGAAATGAATGAATGAATGAAGTGTCTTGAAGAAGAAAACCATGTAGGCAGGAAATGTTTCTCTACTCTTAAAATGTCTGGTCAAAAAAATACATATATCTTTAACAAAAACTTTAAGGAGATATTTTTAAAAACTGTAAAGGACACATAAGCAGTGTATGAAGTAGCATGTAGTGATTAAAAGTATACATGTCATAATATTCACATCAAAATTAAATATATCAGCTTCTTGAACCATTTATCACCTCTTTTTGAAAACTTTCCAAATCCTCCCCTCTGGTTTTAAAAAGCAGAGAAATATATCTATCTAAATACAAAGCATATAAGAAAACAATGAGAAATACAAAGTACTATCATCACCCTACCAAGCAGTAGAATACAGAACTTCTGCATAGCCACAACCCAGCATTTTGATGCATATGGCCAAAGGGCCATGTTTCTTTAATTTACAGAGGGCTCCTAAAATCTTACGAACTACAGATCTCACCCAAGAATGCTAGATTAAGGATATGAGTCAGCCACTCTCATAAAATAACAATCACCAAGAAATATCTTTTAAATGCTTAATTTTACTCATGATTAGAGATACAGAAAAAAATAACAAATAATACACCTTACTTTTACTGGCAAAATTTTTAAAATTTGAAATTATTGATGTTAAAGAAATATCAAAACACGTATACTCATAAATTAAGACAGGATCTCTCTAGACTGAATTTAAAAATACTTTTCAAACTTTAAATTTCATATCATATCTATGGGTCCAGAGATACAGATGCATTCCATAACAGTACCAAGATAGGAATATTGTGATAGCCCTAGTGGCTAAATCCTCTGGGATCCCATATGGGCACTAGTTTTTAATCTGGTTGCTTCACTTCCCTTCCAGCTCCCTGCTTGTGGCCTGGGAAAGCAGTATAGAATGGCCCCAAGCCTTGGGACCCTGCACCCACATGGGAGACTTGGAAGAATCTCCTGGCTCCTGGCTTCAGATGGGCTCAGCTCCAGCCATTGAAGCCTCTTGGGGAGTGAATCAGCAGATGGAAGATCTCCCTGTCTGTGTCTCTCCTTCTCTCTGTAAATCTACCTTTCCAATAAAAAAAATTAATATCTACCTCTCCAATAAAAATAAATAAATCTTAAAATTACCAAGATACACAGAAGACTGTCCTACATGGCACTACTGAGAACACAATCTAACAAAATTGTCCATGAAGTTACATGAATTACAGAAATCATTCAGTGGAAAACTCTGCAGCATAATGTGGCTGACCTGTGGGGACTTGATGAAAGGATCTCTGAGATATACAAAATGTAAAAAAAAAAAAACCCAGAGAAGATGAATGGCATGTGGCTCAGTTACATGGTATAGTGCCACTGCCTGTTAGGCCAGCAGCCCACATAAGCACTGGTTTAGGTCTCAACTGCTCCACTTCTGATCCAGCTCCTAGCCAATGTGCCAGGGAAAGCAGAAGACAGCCCTAATGCTGAGCCCCTGCCACCTATGGGAGACCTGGGTAAACTGCCTGACTCCTGGCTTTGGCCTGGTCCAGCCTCAAACTTTGTGGCTGTATAGAGTGAACTACTAGATGGAAGATCTACTTCTCTGTTTTTCTCTTCATCTCACTCTGCCTTTCAAATAAATAAAACCAATCTTCAAAAAAATGCATGGAATAATTATATTTATGGATGCATTTAAGTTCTAATGTTTTTAATGTATATTGAATGCTCAGACCAATTCATTCCAATGTATACATTAAAAAAACAAAGTTTTATGATGTCTATAATTCTGTGGGTTTCCTGACCAATCCATCTTTTAGTTAACATCTGGGCTTGCCCTCAGGTGGCTACACTCAGCTGCAGATTTGGTTAAGACTGGCTGAATTCATCTCTCCATGGTCTCAAACGATTTGGTTGAAATATCTGCAGGGGACCATAGGACTCTTCAGTTTTGGTGTCTTCACACAACAGAGATCACACTCTTAGAGGTCAAGAGCCTAAGTTCAGGGCCTTTGTTGGTCAACTCTCAAGCCAAGTAAGTCCAGTAGAAATCCTTAAGTCTATACAAGCCCTAGGACCAGTCTAGATTAAAGAGGAGAAAAACAGACTACCCCACCTGATTGGGAAAATTGCCAAGAACCTGTAGTCATATATAATTTGCACATATACATTTAAATATCTATGTCTGTATCATCTTTACCAAAAATGTTATTGAAAAAAAACCAATGGACACAATATCCTCTGAGAACAGGAGTTGTGAAAATGGATGATGAAAGAAAAAAAAAAAAACAGACCTTACTATTCTAGCATTTACACACTCACACCTACCACATGGGCATGAGGCCTGGGCAATGTCTTAGGGTGCCAGGCTCAAGCTGGCTCTCCGTACTCGGCCTGCTGGTCTACTGTCACCATCCTGAAAGTCCTGATTTTGTTTTGAACTTGTGTTTTATAAGTGTATTCCAGAACTGCAGTGGATCATGCACAAAAACCAGGACAAAGCAGGAATATCTGCTGTTCCCTGCCATCTCGTTTTGCAACCGTGCTCCCAATATCCCAATAGCACAGGACTGCAGTGAACTCACAGTGCATGGGAGTGCAAGATGGCTTGAGGAAGCAATTGGTAAGCACAGCATGTTTTTAGGTGAGGAAATCAGTTGCTACTCATCCCCACAATGTACTAGTATTAGTGAAGAAACGCTACCAAAGCCTTTCTCATCATGTTCCTCCCACGGACTGGACAACCAACCCCAGTTGCCAAAAATAGCAAAAGTAAGGAAAAGGATAGATAGGGCAGCACATCACTTTTTTTCCTTTTAACTAATCCTTCCTCATCAGTAAACTAAAGATAGTGTTGGTAGAAAAGCTGAATCTGTTTAGAGCTTGGTTTTCCCTGTCTTGATGTTACTGAAATATGTATACATGCAGCAGATATGGAAGAGAAAAATATGCAATTCTGGTGATTGTGCATATAAGTTAAATGTTCTTATGTTTATACTTAATCATTGGCATTACACCATAGAAAGATCAGCAGGAATTTTATGCTAATAAACTGAAATCTGTTTTTATTTACTTTGAACAGTATTAAATAGCAACTAAAGAGTAAAATGATGAATTTAAGATAGAGAGCAAACAAAAGAAAAATGCTTTATATAGTAACGTTAGAAGTAACATTTTCATTCCTTCTGAGAAAGAAAGCAAGGACCCCTACATGTTTATTTGTACTGTGTCCCATAAATTATGTAGTCGGCCTTGTCTGTAGGGCTTGAAATTGCGTATTTATGTCCTACATTTATTTATTAAAAAAGATATTTCTTCTCCGCCTACCTTCCCACTCATTTACTCTATGGTCTGTATGCTACCCTTAATTCAAGTCATCATAGATCTATCTTTTTTAAAAGCAAAAGCAAGGAGATCCAGGACATGGTAGCCAAAACACAGGTACCTAATGAACAAACACCTTTAATAAACAAAGGCACTTTTTCATACTATTACCCTTTCCCCCTTTTCCTTTTGTAGGCAAATATCCTCCCT